CAGGCCAGAAGAGGGCACCAGACCCCATTACAGATGGTTGTGAGCCACCATGTGGATGCTGGGAATTGAACTCGGGACCTTTGGAAGCGCAGGCAATGCTCTTAACCTCTGAGCCATCTCTCCAGCCCTTGTTTGATTTTCTTAAAGGGTATTGTATGCATGCGTGTTGGCTAGTTTTATGTCAACTTGACATAGGTTGAAGTCATTGAAAGGAGCTTCAATTAAGAAAATAATCTCCAACCAAGTAATGGTGGTGCACACCTTTAATCCCAGCATTCAAGGAGGCAGAGGCAGGCAAATCTTGGTGAGTTTGAGACCAGCCTGGTCTACAGAACGAGTTTCAGGACAAACCCTGTCTCAAAAAACCAAACAAAAGAAAGAAAGGAAGGAAGGAAGGAAGGAAGGAAGGAAGGAAACCTCCAGCTGAGCAGTGGAGACACATGCCTTTAATATCAGCACTCAGCGGCAGAGGCAGGTGAATCTCTGAGTCTGAAGCCAGCCTGGACAGTCTGAGGTCCAGACAGTCAGGGATACACAGAAGACAATACCTTCAGAAGATCAGGCTGTAGGCAAAGCTATAGGGCATTTTCTTGATTAGTGATTGCTGCTTGAAGACCCAGTCTATTGTGGGTAGTCCCATGCCTGGGCTTGTGGCCTTGGGTTCTATAAAAAATCAGGCTGAGCAGGCCACAAGGAGCAAGCCTATAAGCAGTGCTCCCCCAAGGCCACTGCAGCCGTTCCTGCCTCCCTGTTCCTGACCTGTTTGAGTTCTGTAAAACTTTAAGACAATTCTGAAGCCATTTCTGACAATTCTGAACCCTTTCAGCCTCTGTGCCTTAGTGCTTACCCTCCTCCCCTGGGAAACAAGGACCTAACAGCTACATACGCACGTATGTTCTCCAGAAATTGAGGCAAGATGACCTTTAAGATGTTGACTCAGGGGGGCTGGAGAGATGGCTCAGTGGTTAAGAGCATTGCCTGCTCTTCCAAAGGTCCTGAGTTCAATTCCCGGCAACCACATGGTGGCTCACAACCATCTGTAATGAGGTCTGGTGCCCTCTTCTGGCCTGCAGACATACACAGACAGAATATTGTAACATAATAAATAAATAAATATTTAAAAAAAAAAAAAAAAAAAAAAAAAAAAAAAAGATGTTGACTCAGTTCCTGAACAATTACCCATATACGCATGTTTTGATTCAGTCCCCTGGGAAACGGGGTCAAAATGACCTCTTACCTCATCTGATCTGGCAACAGCTTTCCAGCCAATTATTGGTAATAGCCCTTTCGAATAAGCCAATCATAATAGTCAAAGAACAACCTCCCTCTTGATTCCGTGGCCTTCTTTAAAAGTAGCCTGTACCAGCTATTCGAGGTCTCTCGGCTTCCCGAACACTGAGGGACCCTGTCATGACAGAATTAATAAAATCCTCATGCTTTTGCGTCAGCTATGGTGTGAGGGGTGGTCTCTGGGGGCGACTCATCCTCGGTGTTTGGATTCTAGGGTCCAACAGTTCACGTCCTTACTCCCTTCGCTGATGAACAGCAATATGGAAGCCAAATAAACCCTTTCCTCCCCAAGTTGCTTTGGTTGTAGTCTTTCACCATGGCAATGGAAACCTTAAGACACTGCACATGTGTATGTTAGGCAACCATAGTCTCCAGAACCTAAGGTCAGTTCTCCCTACCCCAGAACCATCTTAACCAGCTGGACCGGGCATGGCATAATGGCCCAGAGAAGTTAGGAAAGGGATTGTGAACTGTGGGTGAAGGTGTCCCTGACCGGGGCAGGGGTGATATGGGTGGGGGACCCAGGGCAGGGACCGCAGGGGAAGAATTCATCCTGAAACCCTGCAGAAGGAATGCAGCCCTCTTGACCTCTTGTTTTCTAGAAGTGTGTCTCATCACCAGGACTGTAAGAACATAGGTGCATATCCTTTTAAGGCAATGGGATGGTTGTGTCTTGTTACAGTAGCTACAACAAACACATTCTACCTTGCTGAGCTTTCCACAGCTGCTAAGCAACTGACTAGGGCAGAGTGTTCTTAGATGCTCTTGCTGTGGCCTGAGCCACCCTCTCCCTTCCCCTCTGTCCATCCCCTCAGCTTTGCCACTTTGATCTACACATCTTTCCCTAGGAAAATCTCCCTTGGCTACATGGCTGGATCAGACATCTCCATCATGGACGTCATGACTCCCATTTCCTCTGGCACACCTTCATATCTTCCCAGGTCTCAAGTCCCATAGTCCTGTTCTCCATCACCCGTGTCGGGTCAGTATTTAGGAGACCTCCTCTCCTGCTGAACTGAGATTCTGTGAAGCCAGCACCTGCTCTATTATAGTTTTGTAAATTTTTATGGACTGATGGGCTGGGAGTTAGAAAAGATGGAGCACTGTCTCCCAGAGCTCTCGTGGCCTTCCAGCATCCCTGCTTTCTTTTAGTCTTTCAACAGATGTTTACCAGGCCATTAGTGTATGTCAGTGTCTAACTTCTGGACTGTTGGGAAAATAAGGAAGGAGCCGGTGCTTGCAGGGTTACCCTGGAGCGAATGGCCGGAGGCCGGAAGGTGTCCTGTGGAAGGGATGACACAAACTTGGGCACTAGACTTTGAGTCACATTATTGCCTGCAGTGCAAAAGTCGCACACGCACACACGCATGCGCGCGCGCGCACACACACACACACACACACACACACACACACACACGCCTGTGAGCCAGGCACAGAGAGGACCCTGGGCATCTTGTGAAAAGGGACAAGGGCTCCATGAGCACGCTTGTGGCCATTTGCATGGGTTCAGTGTCTGGTGCTGGCGTCAACAACTGTGTAACCTCAGGCCATTTGATGAATTTCATCTGCCCGTTTCCTCCTTATCTGTAAAACAGAAGAAGCCCTATGACTCTGAACCTTGGAATGCGGTGGTTAGTCAGCTAGATTGTTTCCCCAGGCAGAAGTCAAGCTCATCCACAGCAAATGCTGAACTCAACTCTCTCTGTGTTTCGCAAAAATTTAAGAACAATTTTCTATTTGTTATTTTTCTGCAAAACAGATAAATAGTTGCCTTTGTTTGGGTGGGAGACCACCTTAGATGACCTAGTGGAACCAGTTGTACTGACATTGCTGGGATGGATGGATGGATGGATGGATGGATGGATGGATGAACAGAACTACAGTGAGGTATACTCAATATTCTCCTCGATAGGCAGAAGGGGTCCGAAGGAGACGCTTTGCTCTGACGCTGTAGTGGGAGGATCTGAGTTCTGGGAAGAGCAGGGTTTTCTGAGACTAGAGTTAGCCAGTCCTTGTGAATTGCACCGGAACAACAGCAGGACAGAGACGCAAGGATTAAAGTAATGGCCCAAGAGGGGTCCCCAAAGACAACAGGTTATTCGTACACACTCAATAATCCATCATCTTTTTATTTGTTTGTTTGTTTTTTTGTTTTATTTATTTATTTTTTGAGACAGGGTTTCTCTGTGTAACAGCCCTAGGTGTCCTGGAACTAGGTCTTGTAGACAAGGCTGGCCTCCAACTCACAGAGGTCCGCCTGCCTTTGCCTCCCAAGTGCTGGGGATTAAAGGCGTGAGCCACCACTGTGGTTAGTAAAGCATCATCTTATACAGGGCACAGAGCCCACAGTAGTGGATGCCAACAGCTGGAGCAGGGGTAGACGCACATAGCAGAGGAAGGCTTTTCAGAGAAAAACTGGGCTAGCCTGCTGACCTGAGTTCAGTACCCGAACCCCACATGGTAGAAGGAGAGAACTGACTCTAGTACATTGTCCTCTGTCTGATCAGATGCACTGTGGTGCACACATGATCACCCCCATAAATAAATATGAAAAAACACAGTGCAAAAGTGCTAAATTAGAAGCCTATTTTCAACTTGTGACAGATCGCCATGGCAGGTGGAACCCTGCCCTGGATGAGCGCAAGACTATAGTCTTTTTCTCAGGAAATCTACCTGTTGGATGGAAGCTTCACTCCAGCCCCGGGGAATCCAAACCTGGATTTATTGATTCGGCTTGATTGGCCTATTACATCAGTGGCGGTGGATTACCATTAACTAGGATTTAAACTTAACACTACTCTCTCTCTTTTAAGATTTATTTTTCTGTGCATTGGTGTTTTGCCTGCCTGTCTATCCGTGTGAGGATGCCTGATCCCCTGGAACTGGGGTCACAGCCAGTTGTGAGTTGCCGTGTGAGGGCTGAGAATTAAACCTGAGTCCTCTGGAAGAACAGCCAGTGCTCTTAACCACTGAGTCACTTCTCCAACCCCAAGAAATCTATTCTTCCAACTTTCTTCAAGCCCTCTTCTGTGAGCCCAGAGGCAGAGGCCAAGGTCCAATGGCGGTTCCCTTTGCGCCAGCACACCTGCCCTATAACCTTAGCAACAGCAGTGAGGCGGAATCCTTCCTTATCACCGGCTCTTCTGATCCTGCCCTCAGGCCACTGTCCCTGGTCTCTGCGGCTCCCTCCAGGATCTCAGCTGAGTCTGCTTTTCACCCTGAGTCACCTGATTTTTGACTCATGACTCAGGATGCTAGGCGACCAGCTGCCTCCTGCTTCTGTCGCCCTGTCTTCCCCAGCACAGTAGGCTGGCTGTACCCCGGAACTGTAAACCAGAAATAACCCTTCCTCCCTTGAGTTATTGTCTGTCAGATCTCTGGTCACCGTGACCAGAAACACAATAGGCTCAGGACTCTCTGTCTCCTGCAGGGTCTGGTTGGTCTCTGTACACACGTGGCTTTGCGGTTTTGCAGTAGTGTAAAGGAATTTTAATTATGGGATGGAAACAACAACAATCTATGAGTTTAGAGAGAAGGTCCTATAAAACACAGATCATGATTCCAGGACACCCCCCCACACACACACACACACAACAATGGTCCATAATTAATTCTTGGGCGACATCTGCAGATACTTGCTGTCTGACAAGTCCAACGAGGCCGTGGGTCTCCGGCTGTCTCTGGCTGGATTGCAAGTGGAGTGGTAGTTCTCAGAAGCGTGGGATGGGGTGCAGCCGAGGGGGAGGGACCGGGATGGCATGCTCCCTCCTGGACATAGCGCACACTGGCAGACTGGGGTAGGATGTGGTATAAATGCTTTCCCTCAGACCAGTCTTGGGCGCGAGCCACTTTTGCTTCAGTTGCTCAAACAGTCCGTAGTTTGTGGGGGGCGCTGCAAGAGAAAGCAGGTTTGGGTGACACAGGGCGGTTATGAGCAGACACACAGGTGCCACATTGGCCACCCAAGCAAAATATCTATCTGGTTCTGGAACAGCACCTGGAGGAGCTGCTGGAGTGGGGCGCAAGAGTCAGCAAACAGGAGGAGCAATTGTCTTCCACTCCTGCCACATTTTCCAGACTGTTCTATAAAGAACCAAGGCTGGCAGGGTGAGCAGAAGCCAGAGAGCATAGAAAAAAAAAAAGTTCTCAAAGCTGGATGGTGGCAGCACCACCTTTAACTTCCAGCACTCAGGAGGCAGTGGCAGGTCTATCTCTCTGAATTCGAGCCCAGCCTGGTCTACAGATCTAGTTCCAGGACAGTCGGGCAAACACAAAGAAACCCTGCCTCAGGTGGATTTCTGGGAGTTCGAGGCCAGCCTGGTCTACAAGAGCTAGTTCCGGGACAGGCACCAAAGCTACAGAGAAACCCTGTCTTGAAAAAACAAAAAACAAAAACAAAAAAACAAAAAAAAACTGCCTCAAAACAAAACAAACAAACAAAACTAATAAATAAATAAATTAATTAATTAATAAATAAATAAATAAAAGAAGTTCTCAAATACACACCCCTGTCTGGATCTTGTTTACTCAATCTTATTATTAATGAGTCTCTTTCTTGGATCATCAGTTCCCTCAGGCAGAAACATTTTGTGCTTGTCACCACTGTGTCTCCCCGGGAACCCCAAGGAAGAAGATTCAGTTACTGTGCCTAGAGAGAATGCCTGGCACGAGAGTACGGAGTATGTTGCTTCCAGCTAGCTCTGGTCCTGGTGTACAGGTGAGGCTGTCATTACAGGATTGTCCCTGATGTCAAGGGAAGAAGGCAGGGGCAGCCCTGAGTGACAAATGAGGTCATTTTCCTTGACCTCACCCGACTGCTCCTGTAGGTCTTTGTGATGGGAGCACACCTCAGCCCTGTGCATTTGTGGTTCCCTTATAGACAAAATACAGGGGAAATTCCCAATTATAAACGTACCAACAAGGGGAAAGTCGGACTTCTCTGGCAGCCACAGCAACTTTTGTCCATTCCAGGAACGCAGGGCAGGCACGCCCGGGTTGTAGTTGTGACGGTTGTAGTGGTCATCATAGGTGCTGATCAGATAACGATGCGAAGGCTCCTGGTGGTGAGTGATCAGATGCTTGTATGGGAGACCCTGGAAGGACACACACGTGGCCACGTTACCAGCCCGGGGTGAGGCACAGTGACGAGGAAGCCTGCACTGGTCACCAGAGACCTCACTGGGGTCACATCCCTCTTTCAGTTGTGAACCCCAGCTAGCTGCTTTCAGTTCTCAGGCCAAGTCTATTCGTCCCCAGGGTGAGCTACCACGGTAAATTAAAATTAAAGTCAGGATGCTCAATGAATGGAAACAGCCAGGGCCACTCGAGGTGCAGCTTTGGGATCTGACATTACATCCTTTGGTTCAGTCTTGTCTTGTTCCCCCCAGCTGCCTGTTTGCAAGGTAAGCAGCGTTTGGGCCTCATATTTCCTTCAGTTACTGTGGGAGAACCAGAGAAGTCCCTGTAAATCTTCCTCCCCCGGAGGGATTTACGGCCCCACAGCTGCAGAGCAAGGAGCTGTTTCTTTGGCGAGGAGTTATTCACCAGGAAGAAGAAAGCTGTGTTTTTCTCTGTCTGGGATGCCTGTCTGAAACCAGGGTTTTCCGAAGGAAATCCTTCCGACTTCGAAGAGAATCCCATGGCGCTGGACTGGTTGAAAGGAGGTCAGTAGACACCCTGCACCCCAGACTTCTAAGGGTCATTCCATAAATAAGTCAGAGCACAAAGCCAGAGACGGACAAGGGTTTGGCCTGCAATCCGATGCACAGTTCCCAAGATCTGCACCACTAGGGGCCAGGAGTCCCTTTCTAATCCAGCAGTGAACTGGTGGCATTCCCTGAGTGGCAGACCCTCAGGAGAGGGACCAACAGGGATTCTATTGGCATTTCTTTGGGTTCTGTATGCGGCCCTGCAGTCTCAAAAATGACTCTTAACTTTCTGTTCTCACGAGGAGCATGCAATGCCACATATGGCCACATGAGGCAGCAGAGCACCAACCAGGGACAGCTATTAACTCCAGAGGGCAATGGGGCTTCGTGAGTGAGCCCTTAAGAACAGAAAGAATCTTGAGGAAGAGTCTGTTTGTTTTTAGGTGTTGGGTTTGTTTTCATTTTTGGTTTTTCGAGACAGGATTTCTCTGTGTAGATTTGACTATTAAGTACCGATTTATTTTTATTTCTATGCACGTGTGTTGAGGGTGGGGTAGAGGGTGCCATGATGGCCAGAAGAGGGAGTCAGTCCTTCCGACCTGCAGCTGGAGTGATAGAGGGCTGAGTGTCCGCAGTCATGGGTGCTGGGGACGAAGCTCACGTCCTCTGTAACAGCAGCCAGGACTCTTCACTCCTGAACCATCCTTCCCACTCCTGGGATGTATTCATTTTAGCCATATTAAGCCATGTCTTGGGGTCAAGGTTTGCAATGAGTCCAAGGGTCTCTTTAAATGATAGCCAGTCCTCTATACGTAATCATAGCCAAAGGCCAAGAAGCTGTGACGTAATGATCTGATATGTATCAACAGGGATAAGGGTGGTTGGGGACCGGGAGCCCCAGGCTCTGAGTTCTTATTCTGACTTCCTTCAGTTAAAGTACCTTTGCGTCTTCCCAGACGAAAGCAGTGGTGAAGTTCAAGAACCCAGGAGTATGCCCTGGAGATGCTGCACTGTCTTGGGATACCAACGCAGCCAGGAATGGCAGTGAGGACTAGAGATGTGTGCCAGGTCCGGGGATGTCAGTGTAGCTGTGTCTCAGGGGTGCCAGCGCTGAGTCTGACATCATTAATGTCAGTGTGACTGTCCCAGAGATGGAAGACAGTCGTCTCTGGAGTGTCAATGCAAAACCCAGCTCTCATCGCAAAGGAAAAAAAAAAAAGATAGTTTATTCTGAACTAACTAGGAGTGATCAGGGCTCGGGAGCACAGGTTCAGGTAGCCAAGAATAGCAGGCTGTGTGTAGAAACAACTTCATGATTCTTTTGAAAGAGTCCATAGTTTTAATTGCTGTTTTGCATTTATGTGAAAAGGTCAAACATTTGTTTGTATACATGCATGCATGCATGCGAGTGTGAGTCTGTGTGTGTGTGTGTGTGTGTGTGTGTGTGTGTGTGTGTGTAGATCAGAGGACAACCTGCAGAAACTGGTTCTCTCTTCGCACCAAAGAACATTCCAGGGATTGAATTCAGGTTATTATGTTTCGTGACTTGAGTCATTGGCCCACTGAGTTTTCTTGCCAGCTGGCCCTCAGGAAGGTTTGTTGCATTGTTGGAGTGAGTTTATTTGCTTTTATTTCTTGAGACTGTGTTTCACTGTGCAACCCCGGCTGGTCTGGAATTTCCTAGGTAAACCATGCTGCCCTAAAATTCACAGAGTTCCCCCTGCCTCTGTGTCCTGAGTGCTGGGATTAAAGGTGTGCACCACCACACCTAGAATCTCGTGAAGTTTTCTGGTAGGTACAAAATAAAGTCATAAAATAAAGCATTTTTCAAATATACTAGTGGGGACATCAGGTAAGTAGGCGTGTTTTAACAAAGTGGAGAAATGCCTGCTACAAGTCTCAGATGCTGTCTGAGGACATTCTCAGCTTTGGGTAGGTGGAAGCTAAGTTACCACGTTTTAAAATTTTTCAGCAGATAGCAATGGGTCAAACACAAAGTCAGGGAATGGCTACCAAGAGGACAGAAGATAGCCCCCCAATAATTTGGCTCTCAATCTGCCATTCCAACCCATTATACTTAGGAAGTTCTGACCAGTCACTCAGGCTTGTAGAATCTTTCTTTAACACAGGTGTGGCTTGGGCTGGAGAAGGCTCAGCTGGTAAAGCTGCTCGCTGCCAAGCCTGAGGACTTGAGGTTGATTCTCAGGTCCCATATGTGAAGGAGAGAACCATTTCCTGCAAATTGTCCTCTGGCCTCCACCCATGCACAGACGTCTCCCACAGCAAACTGACAATTTAATGTGTTTTGAAAGTCTAAAAGAAGCCTGGTGGTGGTGGCGTCAGTGGTGGTACACCCTTTTAACTAACCTCAGCACTCAGGAGGCAGCAGCAGGCTAATCTGAGTTCAAGGCCAATCTAATCTACAGAGTGAGTTCCGAGACCAGAAACCACACTTTGAAAAACAAAACAACAACAACAACAACAACAACAACAAAAAAGCGTTAAAAACTCCCCAAAACAAAACAAAGTTTAAAAGAGAAAGATGCACGCACTGTCTCTTGTTTACAGGAAAGCCACCTGCTCTTGCCCTTCCTGTGGAGCCACACCCTTTGGAAGAATTGGTGGTCTGCCTTTCCATTTTGAGTAGTTGGTCTCTTGGGCCCCTCCCCTCACTAAAATGCTTTGCTTCTCACAAATCACACCTCGCTCCTGCCTACCACTGGCCTGAGTTTAAACAGGTGTTGGGGGACACGGAGTGACATGGGAAGCAGAGACAACAGGCTGGCCCAAACAAAACACTCCCAACTCTCACTTGGGATTCTCAGAGCATGGTGGCACACAGCACAGCTATGCCCTATGGACAAAGGGTGACAAGCTTTCTATCCCCATCGCGAGCCTGGATGGAGGGAGACATCCAGAGGAAATCGTGTAGAAGGTGTCCTTCCCTGCTGTACCTGGAGGTGCTAGGATTCTAGAGCCTCTGGCACAATCCCACCTGATAATCAAGGTCACTTACCTCCACTCTCCTTTTCCCATACCACCTGGAAATATTGTCTGGTCTGTGACCTGGGAAGGGGACATATTCCTTTCTGTAAATGCACTGGGGTGTGTGGTCAGTGGCTTTGGTGAACTGGAAAAGAACACAATGGCCGTGAGAACATCTGAGATGCTGCCTTTCTTACCCTTGCTATGCCCCTCAGCTACCACACAGGGACAAAGAGAATAAGAACCCAGGAAACCAAATAACACAGAAAGGGCATGAGCTAAGGGGCTCAGAGTCACACAGTCGTGTTGTATTCAATCCTTTCTACTCCTCCCCCTTCTCCTTTTAAGAAACATTTTTTAAAATTAACTTTATTCTCATTATTTTAATTTTTTTCTTTATCTTATGTATATGGGTGTTTTGCCAGCCTGTATGTGTGTGCAGTGCCCTCAGAGTCCAGAAGAGGGCATCAGATTCCCCTGGAACTGGAGTTACAGGTGGTTGTGACTTGATGTGTGTGCTGGGAACTGAACCCGTGTCCTCTGGAAAAGCAACCAGTGGCCTCAACCACTGAGCCATCTTTTCAGCCCCTCTGTTGTGGAATGTTCCTTTGCACTGTGTGAAGATATGTCACTGCAATTGGTGCAACAAAAAGCTAAGCAACCAATAGTAAGGCAGGAGGTATAGGCAGAACTTCTGGACAGAGAGAACTCGGGGAAGAAAAAGCAGAGTTGCCCGCCAGATGTAGCGGGAACAAGACATAGAGGAGGAGAGGTAAAGGCCATGAGGCAAGTGGCAACAAGTTGTCTTTAAAACTTACCTTTAACACATTTCAAGCTCTACCTTCCCACCTGCCTCCCCACCAGCAATCGCGTTGCTAAAGTTGCTAAAGTACACAATACTATAAGGACCTATCTGATGGGCACAAAGCCAGCTGTAAGCAACTTTCCCAACTAACCCCAATGTCAGTGTGCTGCCAATGTAAACAAAAATCTCAAGCAAATAGAAACTACAGTTTAAAAGAAGAAACATGAACAACATAAGAATGGTTAAACTATAATCTACCTGTCTGCAGCTACAAGTCTTCTCCAGACTCTTATTACATTTTATTATTTAATTGTGCAGCTGTGAAAGCTGAGGTTTGATGAAATAGATAAAAGCAACATTTAAAAAGTTCTATTGTATGATTTAATTGGTTATTAGGTAAGTTTCCTAAGATGAAAACAAGAGTGTGTATTTTAAATACTTAACACATTTTACTTATCTAAATGCTTGGGGGGGGGCGGGCAACATGCCATGGCACACAAGTGAAGCTCAGTGGACAACATGTAGGGGTCATTTCTCTCTTCCCACCCATGTGGGTTCCAGGGATCAAACTCAGATCATCAGGCTTGCTGTCAGGTACCTTTGCACACAGAGCGATCTTGCAAGTCCTGTTTATTTCATTGCTGTCACACGTTACATCATAATGAGTTGTGTGCTCATCTGGATAGAGATGCGATTTTTATCAAGTTTTCTAAATCGTGCAGGAAGTAACAGGTAGTTACTAATTTTAAATTATACAGTACCGGTTTTTATCTTTGTCTGTGTGTTTTCATTTAAGTGGGCTAGCATCCCTTCATTTTCAACTTGAATTTCAGTTTCAACTTGAATGATTACCTCAAAGACAGGTCTCTGGATCTCCAGAGCTCCGGGTAGACAACCAGCCTCGACTTTTGCTTGTCTGGAAATGTCTTCATTACTTTCTCAGTTTTGAAGGAGAATTTTGTGGGCTATAGAATGCTCAGCTGACAGTCTTTACTTTTTATTATGCTTTGAATTTATGACCACACACCGCTTCTAGATTTTTGCTGAAAGCCTCCACTGACATGCCCTCTGATAAGTTATTGTTACTGCACTGGACAAACCATTGTCCATGTTTTTATTTTCATGTATTTATTTTCCTATCTTTCTTTCTCCTTCCCCCTTCTGGAAAAATTATTGTTTGTGATTTTTATTTTCATTTATTTTTCTTATTTTTCTCCTCCTCCTCTGTTGTCTTTTGTATATTTATTTAGTCTATGAGTATACATAAGTGTTGTGCCTGCATAAATATCTGTGTACCACATGAATAGCCTGGTACCCTTGAAGGTCAGAAAAGGGCATAAGATCCCCTGAACTAGAGTTACAGGTAGTTGTGAGCCACCATGTGGGTGCTGGGAATTGAACCTGGGCCCTCTGAAAGAGTTCAAAAGTACTCTTAACCTCTGAGTCACCTCTCCTGCCCATGCTTTTCATGTTTTTTTAAAAAATATTTATTTATTTATTTATTATGTATACAATATTCTGTCTGTGTGTATGTCTGCAGGCCAGAAGAGGGCACCAGACCTCACTACAAATGGTTGTGAGCCACCATGTGGTTGCTGGGAATTGAACTCAGGACCTTTGGAAGAGCAGGCAATGCTCTTAACCACTGAGCCATCTCTCCAGCCCCGCTTTTCATGTTTTTAAGAGTCCATGTGTCTTTGATTTCTAATAGTTTGATTGTCATGACTATCACCAAAGTGTCTCTCTGTACATTTATTCTCCTTTGAATTCCTGTAACTTCTGGGGTTCATAAAGCTATGTCCTTCCTCAAGCTATGATAGTTTCAGCCATTATATATTATTTTTGAAACAGGATCTTACTCTGTAGGCTAGGTTAGCCACAAACTCACAGAGATACACAAACTTACACAGATCTGCCTACCTCTACCTCCCGAGTGCTGGAATTAAAGGTATAAACATCGGTACTCTTTGTTTCTTTAGGAAGGTTGCTACCTTGTTTATTTCTTTGGCATGCTTTCCTTTCCCTTTGTATGCCTAATGATTTTTTTCATTGTTGAAAAAAAAATAAAAATTAAGAGCACCAACTCTTCCACGCTTTGTTGACTATATATAGACAAGGGGAGGCCTTTTTTTTTTTTTAAGCTAGCTTGTCTTTGGAGCCAGTCATCATGAAGGCTGAATTGATTCTCAGGGATTTTCCTGTTGCAATGGATATGACATCTGCATGCAAGTGCACACACGCGCGTGTGCGCACATACACACACACAAATTATTGGTTTTAAAGATTTATTCAGCCGGGCGGTGGTGGCGCACGCCTTTAATCCCAGCACTTGGGGGGCAGAGGCAGGCGGATCTCTGTGAGTTCGAGACCAGCCTGGTCTACAAGAGCTAGTTCCAGGACAGGCTCCAAAACCACAGAGAAACCCTGTCTCAAAAAACCAAAAAAAAAAAAAAAAAAGATTTATTCATTACCTCGATTTTACATGTATGAGTATTTGCTTGCATGTATGTAAGTTCGTCGTGTTTATACAGCCCAAGGAAGCCAGAAGAGGACATTGGATCCCCTGAAGTTTTGGGTGAGTGCAGCTATGGGGGTGGGGCTGGAAACCAAACTCCAGTCCCCTACAAGAACAGTAAGCACTGAGCCATGTCTCCAACCCAGTGAAACACTTTAAAGAAGTACAAAGGTGGTGGCACATGCCACCTTTAATCTGAGCACTTGAGAGGCAGAGGCAGGCACATCTCTGTGAGTTCAAGGTCAGCCTGGGTTAAACAGTGAGTTCTAGGACAATCAGGGGTAAGTGGAAAGAATCTTACCTAAAAAAAATAAATAAATAAAATAAAAATTAAAAACTAATAAATAAATAATAAAAAAATTTAAAAGAGCAAAGGTATTGAGGAATATTCTGCTACCTTGAAATAGTCCAGTTACAACGGTGCTAGAGGTACAATTGTATCCATATCCCTACTATGGTGTCTTTAAGACATAAGGAGGGACCTTAATTATTGCGTGAATGCATCTTTCCTGTGTAGAGCATGAAGACCATGATGTTCAGACTTAACTGTAGGCTGCCTCCCATTTGAGAAAAGCGGACTTCACTTCTCCCTGAGTTATTTCCCCACGGACTGTCCCTTCTTACCTTCCTGCTTTCTTCCACCCAGTTTCCCACAAGCACTCTTGTTGAGTACTTCTTCTCAATCTGCCAGCCTGGCGTGGAAAATGCCTGAGGAACCGCTGAAGTCACAAACATGGTGAGGCTCCTCCCCACGTCCCTTTGACTGGGCAGATTCAGGGGACAGAAAGGTATTTGGGGGTTATTCGAATGTTCCTTTCCTCATCTACCTTCCCAGAGTGGGTAGCAGGTGGCCCTCTGTCAAGCTCAGGAAATTTAAAACAAAGTCTGGAGAGCTCACTTTGGAGAGTGATGTGATCTTGGATTCTCTTTGTTGACTGTATCCATGGTGACAGACACTGGCTGCAGACTCTTCACTAGGCAGCAGTTGATTCTGGAGGAGCAGAGTTGGCCCCACATAAAGAAGCCAGAGTAACGGTAGTGAAAGGCCAGGTATCTCTTGTTACAAGAGGGACACCACCCTTGCTGGACTCTTTCATGAGCGTGAGTTTAATTTTAATTCTGCTTACTGCTGATATGTGAGCCCATGCTAAGACTCTGAGGTACAGTTCACGCTACCGTATTATTCACGAGCGGGGCAAGGGCATGGAGATTAAAGGAACACACAAGAGATATGGGTCATTCGTGAGGAAAGAAGGCCGAATGCCGTTTATTCAAGCTTAGGAAAAACCTTATATACCTAGCTGCTGCATAATGAAATTCTCCCCAGGCAGGTAGGAAATTACCAAACCCAAAATGGAGTAAACAATGGCCCTATAGCTAACCACCAGAGGGGCAGAGGGAACACAGGAACAAACAGGATGTTTAGCCGGAAAATGGAACAAGATGTCTGGCCAGAAACTGTTCTCAAGATCAACCCTGGGAGGAGGGCTAGACCCGTGGTCTCTACACATTCCCTCACAGCGCCTCTTGGGGGCTGGTACCATGACAGTATCTGCTTTGTACTTGAAGACGCGGAAGCACACAGAGAGGTTCAGGCACCTAATGTCACCCAGCTAGCTGGTGGACACTTGAGACTTACATCAGTTCCAACTCCTGCTTAAAGCTCGAGCTTCTACCTGTCTGTAACTCTGACTAAGGGAAGAACCCTACATTGTATTTGCAGCGAACACAATATGGTTCATTCATTCAGTCTTCATTCATTCATTCCATAAGCACTTACTTCACATTCTGTGTTTTAGGGGCTAAGGTGAGGTTGCGATGTATTCATGAACAGACCTCGGCTCAGCTAGATGGGACAGAGCTTAATATTTTGCTTATTCTTTAGCCCAAAGGATCATGAGCCACCAAGATATCTATCTACAGATGGCTGCTTCAGTATGGTGGAGGATGTCTACATGACGCAATGTTCTGGAGCTCTTATGGAAGCCTGGGCTAGGGCAATGTTATGCAACTCAGTGGCAGAGCACTTGCCTAACATGTGAAAAGTCCTTTAGTTTAAACCCTAGCAAAGGAAGGGAGGAAGAGGTGAATAGGAGAGGGAGAGGAAGAGAGAGAGGAAAGAGGCAAAGAGAAAAGGGGAGGGAAGAAAGGAAAAAGGAAAAGGGCTAACCAAGAAAAGATGCCCTAATAAATAGAGGAAACTGTTTGAAATTAAGTTTTATTTTGTTTCCTGCATCTGGGCATTTTGCTTACTTGTGTTTCATATCCATGCCTATTGCCCATGGAGGTCAGAAGAGAATGTCAGATTCCCTGGAAGTGGAGTTATAGAAACCTAGGGGTGCTGGGAATTGAACCTGGGTCCTCTGGAAGATCAGTCAGTGATCTTAACCACTGAGCTATCTATCCAGCCCTAGAAAAAACTTTTGTCTGAAGTAGCCACAGTACAGGCACAGTCATACCACATGGGTGCAAATGCTACATAATCTTAGAAAGGCACACACACACACACGCACACACACACACACTAAAAAAAGATACATCTTCACGCTGGAAAGATGGTTCAGAGAGTTAAGTGTTTACCATGCCAGCTGAATAATCAAAGTTTGATTTCTGGTAGCCACATAGGTGGAAGGAGAAACTGATTCCACAACTGGCTTCAAATCTCCTGGGACTGGAGTTACTGATGGTTGTATGCTGCCTGATGCTAGGAACTGAACCTGGGTCCTCTGTGGCACCAACAAGCACTCTTAACTGCCGATCTATCTCTGTAGTCTGAGGTATATTATTATTGTTGTTGTTGTTGTTGGCTTTTCGAGATAGGGTTTCTCAGTAGCTATGGAACCAGTCCTGGAACTCATTCTGTAGACCAGGCTGGCCTCGAACTCACAGGGATCCGCCTGCCACTGCCTTCTGAGTGCTGGGATTAAAGGCGTGAGCCACCACCACTTGGCCTGAGGTGTATCTTTAATACAAAAAGACTCTAAAACTTAAGAAAATAATATATTTCAGAATAAATAATATTTCCCAACCTGGGACGATGAACATGTGATAGTTGTAGGTGCATTTAAAAAAGTTTGCACGGGGAGAGGCCAGGTGTTAAAGGTTAAGAGGAGAAGAGCATACAGGTTGGTAGGTTCTGAGGCGTTCATGAGCAGTGATGTGCACAGTAGCTTCTCACTTGGTCTTCCTAGCAGCGTCCTTGACTGCTGGTTCGTGGTTTAGCAAGGTCACTTGCTAGGCTTCAGTTAGCCTAGCACTTATTACCAAAAAGATGGTATCATAGATGTGGCCTTGACAGTCAGCTGTGGTTTGGCAGAGTCTCTTGGTATTGTTCTTTTTAATACGGCATATGCACGGGGACCCTTCATCCAAGACACCCAGCTTCCATCTGGTTAGTGTTTAAAATAATAACTCCGGGCTGGAGAGATGGCTCAGTGGTTAAGAACATTGCCTGTTCTTCCAAAGGTTCTGAGTTCAATTCCCAGCATCCACATGGTGGCTCACAACCATCTGTTATGAGGTCTGGTGCCCTCTTCTGGCCTGAAGACATACACACAGACAGAATATTGTATACATAATAAATAAATAAATAATAAATAAATATTAAAATAATAACTCCATTTTGCTTTTGACAGCTTCCAAAAGGCAACGTTTCCTGTTACTGGGTGTAGTTTTGCAGCTATATGAACAAATACCACTTCATAACAGACAAGAAACAGAGAAAAGCGCACAGAGAAGGAGACCAGTACAAAATAGAGCCCCAGAAACAGGCCCTCAGTGACCTCCTTCCCTCAGCGAGGGGCCACCTTCCTCGTTTCACCCCATGACAGATCCCTCAAGGGATCAATGCTTGAGAGTCATCACAGCCACAGCCAGGGAGAACTTCACTAATCTCCTTGATATTTTAAAATTAAACCAATCAAGTTGACAATCAGGACTAATGACCACAGAGCCATCTCCTGATGCCGATGGGTAGCCGTTTCCCTAGAGCAGGGGTTTTCAAACTGTAGGGTCTCCATTTTTAAATAAAGTTAATTTTTAAATTGTGTGTATGTTTGAGTGCCTGCGCACATGTGCACACACACACTCACATGTGTTCAGGTGCCTATGGAAGCCAGAAGACTGGGTAGAATCCCCTGGAACTGGAGTTACAGACACTGGCGAGCAACTTCGTGCGTGCATGCTGGAAACTGAACCCGGATCCTTTGCAGCAGCAGTCAGTGCTGTTAACCGCTGGGCCATCTCTCCACCACCACTCCAGGACCTCATTAGAAACATTATATTGAGTGGAGCTCCAACTAGGCTGGCTGTGACCTCCTGTGAGAACAGCTGCCATCTCCTCCAAATGCTGTGAAATCACATCCGTGGCTAAAATCTGTCACAGTGCAAATATTTACGTCACAGAATTGGCAAACGCTGTTGTGAGGATTAATTTGGGTTGTCAATTTGATCGGATTGGAATCCACCAAGTGATATGCCTCTGGGGGGTGGGAGGTGATTAGCTGAGTGGGGAGACTGTCCCCCACAGTGGGCAGGACCACACCTGCCAAGCCTTCACTTCCTGCCACCGAGTGCCATCTATCCATGGTTGCCACTGCCGTGCTCTGCTACCAGGAGAGCCCCGTTTCCTCGGGCTTCCATCCAGTGGCTCTCCAGGAGTTTCCCAGGTATTCGGCACCAGACTGCGGCATCCAGCAACATGGACTGAAGGGTCAACAGGTTCTCAGCCTCTTCAGCATGCAGACAGTCACTGTTGGATTATCCAGCCTGCATCACGTAAGCCAACCTGACAAATCCCCTTTGGTTCTATTGGTTGTGTTCTTCTAGAGAGCCCTGGCTAAAACAACTGTACGTTGGGGTGTATTGGCTGACTTTTTATTTCTCAGGCAGCTTCTTATACTTGTCATATTCAAAACGGAATCAGAAATCTTACAGAGACTTACTAATTTTGAAATAGGAAAAGCAAGTGACATCATTAACTTTATTTCCTCAGACAAGAATGTGTGCGAAGAACGGCATGACTTTATGTGTTTATTTTTTGCGTATTTGTATAATGCCTGCGTTTGATAAGAATCAGTTGAATCCTCACTCGAATTCTGCTTCCATCTTTGGGACGGCGTTTGTTCAAAGAAAGGAAGCAAGCTTCACGCCCTTACATAATTAATTACTCATATAGATGATGCATACTTAGAAGAGAGAGAGAGAAGCCCTTACAGAAAACCCGTGTAGGTAACTGCAATTTTTGTTTTGCCTTGAGACCGAGTCTCACTCTCTAGCTCTGACCGTCCTGGAACTGGATGCACGAACCAGGCTGGCCTTGAACTCACAGAGATCCACTTGCCTTGGACTCCTAAACTCTGGAATTAAAGGCTTGCCCCACTGCATCCGCAGATGTGTTCTTTCCTGACCTTGTGATATCTAGGTGTGTACATCCCCAGCTCCTGAGGCAGATAGAAGAAGCTTCCCCCTACCGCACTTCATCGTAAATTCCTTTCAATCAGTTCCGACTTTTTACGCCAGTGAGCTGACTGGAGGTAGAGTCAGATCCAAGGGGTCAGAGGTCAAAGGCTGAATTAACCCACAAGTAGCTAATGATGTGTTCAGCATTCCTATAAGGCACCTGAAAAGCTAGAAATGGATGCGTTCAGAGAGCTTCCGGAGTGGCAAGATACCTCCAAACCCCCTTCCCTTGGATAGAAACAGCTGCACTGTGGGCCCTTCTGGATCTGGTCCAA